AATTAAAAAAAAAAAAAAAAAAAAAAAATTCTAATTATAATTTTTATTTAGGGTAAAAGACATGGTAATATCATCCATGATTTATTTTTAGGTGTTGAATTAAATCCAAGATTTGCTGGTTTAGACTTAAAGTTCTTTTCATTAAGACCAGCTTTAATGGGATGGATCATGGTTAACTTTTCATTAGCCGCCCAAGAATACAAAGTTTACAATTCATTATCAAGTGGTATGATCCTTTATCAAATCTTCACATTTATTTATGCCTTTGATTACTTTTTCTTTGAAGAATGTATGTTATCAACATGGGATATCATTGCTGAAAACTGGGGTTGGATGTTAATTTGGGGTGATTATGTTTGGATTACTTTTGCATTTGCTGTTCAACCATGGTTCTTAATTTATAACAGAGTTCACTTAACTTTAATTCAAATGATTGTTATTTCAACTATTTTTGCTATTGGTTTCTATGTTTTCAGATGGTAAATATAATAGTATTATAATATAGCCCAATGGTTTATATTTTACTAATTTTTTCATATTATTTTTAATTACAGTGCCAATTCACAAAAACATCAATTCAAAACCAATCCAAAAGCTTTAATTTGGGGTAAAAAACCAGAAACTATTGGTGGAAAATTATTAGTTTCAGGTTTCTGGGGTATTTTAAGAAAACCAAATTACCTTGGTGATTGGATCGTTGCTTTTTCATTCTCATTCCCATGTCTTTTCAACACTCCACTTGTTTATCTTTATCCAATGTATTTAGTTATCCTCAATTCACATCGTCAATACAGAGATCATCAAAAATGTTCAAAGAAATATGGTGAACTTTGGAAGGAATATTGTAGACGTGTTCCATATGTTGTTTTACCATATTTAATTTAAAAAGTATTTTTTTTTTCTTAAAAAAACAAACAAACAAACAATATTATTGGTATGTGTGTAATATTAATATAAAATAAAAGAAACAAAACTATAACAATCAAAAAAAAAAAATAAAAAAAAAGTAATAATAAAATTTTAAAATTAAAAAAAAAAACAAAACAAAACTTTTCAATATTAATAATGATAAAATAATAATAGTAATAATAAATTATTCTATAAAAAAAAAAATTTATAATTTATAATTGTTTTGTTGAATGTGCTATATAGTTAAATTTATATTTATATTTTTTTTTTTTTTTTTTATATTAAAAACAATAATTTAATTATAATATTATTAATAATTATAAAAAAAATCTTCATATCACTCTCTGTGTCTCTATCAATTTCTAAAATAATTTTTTTTTTTTTTTTATTATTAAAAATAATTTAAAACAATTATATTTTTTTAATTTTTTTAATTTTAATATTCAAATTCAAAACTATAATTTTTTTCTATTTAATTATAAATTTATATTTTGATATTAAATTTTAATTCATTTTTTTTTTTTTTCCTTTAACCCAAATATACACTATAATAATAAAAAGCAGGATTATAATAGTAAGTAAATTTTCTTTAATTCAATCCAAACTCAAATTCAAATTCAATATTTCCATTGTGTCTCCACACACATCGAAAAAAAAAAAAAAAAAAAAAAAAAAATTAAAACTAAAAAATTAATTTATTTTAATTTTTAAAATTTTTTTTTAAAATATATTTTATTAATTATTAATAAAACTATAAATTTAATTTTTATAATATTTTTTTTATTTATTTTTTCTCTACTATCATTTTTACATGTATTAATAATTTTTTTAATAATAAGAAAAAAAAAAAGAAAAAAAAGTTTTTAAATAACAATTATTAATAATTAATAAATTTCTAAATTTGTTAAAAATAATAATTAATAATAACTAGTTATTATTCATTGTACATAAAATTTAATTAAATTTAATTTTCGTTTTTTGTTTGTTCAAAGTTTTTTTAATTTTATTTTTTTAATTTTAATTTTTTTTTTTACTATAAACAAATATTTTTATATAAAATACTTATAAAATTTTATTTGTGGATCATTATATTATTATTATTTTGTACCATTAATAAAATCATTTAAAAAGTTATATTTATATTTTTAATCCATTTATTTATCTATTATTACATTTAAAATTATAAAAAAAAAAAAAAAAAAAAAAAAAACCTTTTTCTATTATTAGTTATTTATTTATTTAATTTTTAGTGAAATATTTAATATAATTAATAATAATTCTATCTTTTATTTCTATAGAAAACTATAAAAAACCCTTCAAAAAAAAAATAAATATTACTTCTAAAAAAAAAATAAAAACTTTTTATCTTACCCATACTTTTAATCCCATTGAATTTTTCATTTCTTTATTTGATATTTTTTTTATTTAAAAATGGATATTCAACAACACTCGGGTAAACAAATCTCGCAAGAGTTTCCACCCTCAACATTTCAAAGATCCCAAGAGTTTAATAATAATAATAATTATTCAGTTTTCCCAGTAGTAAGTGCAGAGACGATTATGGGCTGTGTAGAGGAAAGCAATTTCCAACTAATGCAACAAACACTAATACTAATATTCCAACAACACCATCTCAAGATTTTAAAGTTATAAACAATATTAATACCACAATTGCAAATTCATTAAATAATATTAATAATAATATTATTAATAATAATATAAATAATTACAATAAAAAGATGATACCATTTGAAGGATCTCCAAAATTATTTGAAGATGTTTTAATACCAGTCACATCCTCTGCTAAAGATGGTTCTTTATTTACAGTATTAGAAAACGTTCCAGTTAAAAGAGTATGTATCAAAAATATTTTCTATACTACATATAATTATATATTAATAATTTTTTTTTAGACCCACAGAAGAAGAAGCGCAAATGTGGATAAAGATTCCTTAAAATGTTACCAATGTAATACATCAAATACACCAGAGTGGAGAAAAGGACCAGATGGACCAGCAACGTAGGTATTAGTGATGTATTTGAAATATGTTATTAAATATATACTAATTGTTGCTTTTTTGTTATATAAATTTATTTTATAGATTGTGTAATGCTTGCGGTTTGGCATACGCTAAAAAGCAAAAATTGGGTTTAATGGGTCAAAATGTATATAAAGCTACAGTTATAAATAAAAAGAATATGAAAACTACAAACCAACCACGTGCACAAAAAGTTTTTAATGAAATGGTCGTTCCTTCTATTCCAAACACATTCCCAAATAGTCTAGTCAACCAAACCCCATACAATGACCCAGCATCTTGTAAAAAGAGCCACACCTTCCACGAATATATGACACCAATAAACTCTTTCTATACTGGTAAACCAATTAAAACCACAAAGACAACAACCAAGAGATCGAAATCAAAGATTGGCAAAATTATACCATCAATTCATGAGCAACCACAATTAAATGAACAAGTTCAGGCAATTATGGAAAAAAACAGGCTATCTAATAGCACAGGTTCTGGAATAACTAATAAATTCCCTAGACATGAAGTTATTAGACAAGAAACAAAACAACAACCAGCACAACCATTACAACAACAGCAACAACAACAATTAAATTCCCAACATATAGTTTTTAATTTTGAAAACAATGGTACCAATAGTTCATTGTATAGTAATGGGGTTAATAGAAATACAAATTTAAATAATAAGAGTGGTTGTTACGTTTATCCACCAGATACAATTATTGATTTGTCACCAACTAACCAAGAACATCTTAATTTCGATCCTTCAAATTCAACTGTTCCAAACATGCTCGCAACTGGTGTAGACGTATATACAACCGATCAAAGTTCTTTTGTACCTGTCTTAAATGTAAATAATCCAAGCTATGCTATTCAATTCCAAAATGCTATCCCAACTTTTCCAAATCCACAAACTCAATCGTTATCACAGCCATTTTTGTCATTTTCTAACTATGATAGTAGTGCTAGTAATAAAATTAATAATGACAACAACATAAATAATAACATTGATAGTAATAAACTTTTATTACCACCACAAAGATCTTTACAAACTAGCACCGGTTCAAATATTGATGTTAAGGTCGAAAGCTCACCAACTTCAGAATTGGGATCGAGCCCAACAGAGGGTTTCGAGGAATTATCTGTAAATACTCCACATAATAATAATATTAATAACGATTCAACTTCAATAGCAAATACAAAGACAGCAACTAATAACAATTTCCAAGCAAATGGTTATTTATTTGGTGCAATGGATGGTTATCTCGGCAATGACAATTTCTTAAATATTCCACTCATTAATGATGACATTCTTTTACCCAATTCAATAATTAATAATTAATTCAAATAAAATTCAAACTTTTTTTGTTTGTTTTTTTTATTAAAAATATTTTTTTTTATATTTTTCTTTTTTATTTTTATCTTTTTTTTTATTTATCTTTTTTTTTATTTTTTATTTTTAAATATATTTTTACCCCTATTTCTTTACAAATAATTTTTTTAAATTATTTTAAATTTTTTTTTTTATTTTTTTAAATTTTATTTTTAAATTTTTTTTTTTTGAATGTTTAGTTTTTAAAATTTTTTTTTATTTATATTGCATTTTTTTTTTAGTTTTATATATGTATATATATAAATTAATAAATTAAAATATGGATCACCAAGATAATATTTTAGATATAAATAGAAAAGCACCAGATTTAACAGCTATGATAATTAATAAGATTTTGGTTTATTGCTGGAACGATAAATATTCATTTTTTTCATGGAAAGTTTCATTGTGTTTAGTATCTAAAAGAGTATTCGAAATGGTATCAATGTTGGCAACTCATATACATTTAGTATCAAATGACCTATCTTTACATCTCTTAAATAAAAGAAATATATTCAAATCAATAACATCATTAACAACATCTTTTAAATTCCTCGAAGGATTCGTCGACGAGTTTCATTTCGACCTATTAGAAAAGAATATATTCCTATTAAAAGATATTCCAGCAGATCAGTTGGAAAAGAAATTGGATAAAAGTCCATTAGAAGGTTTACAAAGCATTAGTATTAGAGGTCCACCTGCATCCTATGTCAAAAAAGAGAAATTGGTATTACAGTTAATAACGTCACTAAACCCAACCCTTTTTAAACACTTTTCAATGGTATCACACAAAGGTACACTTTTAAAGAATTTATTTACATTTTTAGATAACTGTACAAATATCGAATCATTTGGTATTGGTTTACCAATGTCAGAAAAAAAGAATACTGGTGTATTTAACTATTTAAAAAAGAATGGAGGTAATTTAAAAAGACTTCAACTTTGCTTCAATTTCAAGACCCCACCAACCACTGAAGAGGCATATCAACTAAATCAAAGCATATTTTCTGAAGAATCTGGTATATCATTTAGCTCATTAGAAACATTAGAGTTGGGTCACAAAAAACTTTTTGGTCAAGACTACGATTCACATGCATTCGACTATCCACTAGCATCACCAGAAATTCTTTTCAACTGTCTTAATGAACGTATGAGTAAATTAACTACTCTTATTTTCCACAAACCACCAAACCCAAATCAAGAACTTATAACATTCCTCCAATTACTCTGTCAATATTTAAACACAAATGAAAGTCTTACCCATCTTTATTGCCCAGTCAAAATTCCAACTGTAGATATTTTAAAGATCATAACAAGTAAAAAATCAATTAGGAACCTCTCAATTGTTACAACAGCAATGGTACAGTTTGAAAATCCAAATTTAGAAAGGTTAGAACTATTACCAGATTGTGATTCAAGTAGATTCTTTGAAATGAATTCATCATTACAATTAAAAAAAATTTCAGTTAGAGATCATATATGTTTCGAAATCATGAAGGACTTTTTAGAAAACAATTTAAAGTTAGAATCATTAAGCGTAGCACTTAAAGGTAGAACCAATTTCGAGGTTAGAGACAATCCTTTCCTTTCAATTCCATCCGCAAAAAATTTAAAGAAAATATCAATAAAATTCCCACATTATGAAAGAGGCGATATCCCAGATGCAATTTCACGTTTCTTAAGATTTTGTAGCGAAAGTGATTCCCTTCAATATATCAAATATAAGCAAACCGATTTTAAATTAGAAGCAGTAAATTCATTTGATTTTGTATTTTATAATAAAATCGATAAATCATATTATTATAGTAGAAGGTAAATAGTTTTAAATTTAACATGGTTTATAGATAACACCCAAACTCATATACTAATTATTTATTTATTTTACAATAGTTTACCAAAGAATGAAAAAGGTTTACCAGTTATCAATACAGATTTAAAGTCATGGAGTGGCATTGATGATCAGTATGATGTTTTTAGAAAATATGTAATTAAATCAAGAAAACTTTATGACCAATTAGTAGAGCTATGTAAAAATAGACCAGGATATTCAGCATCCTATATTTTAAAATATACCAAACAATGCTTAACAACATTTACAAAAGAACAATGGGAAAATTCAGATGATCTTTTAAAATTGGCTCATTCTACAATTTTATCAATAATCGATCAAGATATGTTTGCAAATGAATTGGTTAGAAAAGAACATATGAATTTAGATTTTTTAAAACAAACTGCAGAATATTTATTTTATGGAAAAGGGCCAACTGCCAAACCCCCATCTATTAATGATTTAAGAAATAGTCAACTACAAATACAGCAACAACAACAACAAGATAATAATAACTATAATAACAATAACAACAATAATAATGATAGTAATAACAATAATGATTTAAACCAAACCAATATAAATGTAGATAATAAAGAAAAAATATTGATTGGATTATAAAGAAAAATAAAGTTTTTTCTTTTTTTAATATATTAAAAAAATAGTTGTTATATAAAAAAATCTTTATTATTTATTTCTTTTTATTTGTTACTTCACGGAAATCTTTTGGATCCAATACAATAGTATCACCTTCATTTTGTTTTCTGTTATTATGATTATTATATCTAGAATTGTTTTGATAATTTCTATTTTGATGTTTTTCTTGATAATGTTGACCATTTTCGTCCTCTTCCTCCTCCTCTTGATACATGTTGTTTTGAGTAGTATTACCTTCAAAAACATCGTATTCGTCATAACTACTTTTATTTGTAGAGTGTTCAGCACTTTCGTATAGTATTAATTCCCTCTTTTGGCTGAAAACGAATAAATATGGATTGTCTATATAATTTTCAATAAGTAAAGTTACACGGATGGGTCTTGCAGATTTTATAGTTTTGGTTGGGGTAAATAAATTCCAAGGAAATGACTCTTCGACCACGACATCTGGTAACGATTCAGCTAGTGTTACAGTGTGTAATGATTGAATATCATTATGTGATTTTAATAAAGGTATTTCGCAAACCATCATAACTTGATCCTCTTGATTCATAAACTGTGAATGACGTGGAATAAATGATGTCGAAATAAGTTTTGGCTCTTTAGATAAAACCAATGGTTGATTACCACCAATAGCATCTTGAATTAAAATTTTTTGTTTTCGTAAAGTTTCAGTTGTGAAATTAAATAATTCTTTATATTCAGTTGGTGAGAATTTCTTTCTTAACCAACCAAATAATATTGTACCTAATAATTTGAAAAGAATTTTAAATATTGGTATCATAATAGGATTTGGTTTCTCCTGTTGGTATTGCTGCTGCTGTTGTTGTTGTTCATGAGACTCTTTGTAATGCTTTTGTTGTTGTTCATGAGCCTCTCTGTAATACTTTTCTTGTTGTTTTTGCTTTTTATACTCCTCTTCATAAAATTTTCTTTGATCTTTAAAGTTTTTATAGGTTTTGTAGTTTTTTGATGCAAAGTTTGATTTATTTAAATAATATTTATCATTGTTTGTTGTTATTGGGCTGAGAGCATTTGTATTATTAAATAACAATGTTTTGGATAATGTTTTATATATATTATTATTTTTATGTATAGGGTTTAATAAAAGTTTATTTATTGAAATCATTATTCAATACTTTTTATTTTATTATTGTATTAATATAGAAAATGAAAAAAAAAAAAAAATATGAAAAAAATGTAATTTAAAAAAAAAATTTTCTTTTTTTTTTTTTTTATTTTTTTTTTTTTTTTCATTGTTTTTAATTTTTTTATTTAATTTTAATTAATTAGGTGTAATCATTAAAATAACAAATGTAAATAGAGCCATAGAAACCATAGAACCAGGGACACCATTAAATACAACCTCATCAAAAGAAATTATTAATTTAAATGGGATCAATAATTGAGAAGTTACCAGAAAAAAACTCCATTCAACAGCAATATGCATATAATTAATTTTTTAAAAAGGTTAATATTATTATTATTGAAGCAATTAAAACCTTCTTTTATAAAAATGAATTTAGAAAATAAAATTTTTAAATAATGATTAATTTTAATTTTAAAAAATAATCATTATTTAATTTAAAAGAACATTTATTAAATTTATGTTATATTCGTTGAGAAAAAAATAATAAATATTTTAAAAAAAATAAAAAATAAAATTATTATTTTTAAAAAAAAAAAAAAAAAAAAAAAAAATAAATTTTAATTTTTTTAAAAAAAAAACGAAAAGAATTTTAGTATTTTATATTCTATTTGTTTCTATATTATTATAATATTATTTTAATATTTAATTTATTATTATCACAAACATAATTTTAAATTTAATATATAATATTTAAATCCATTATAAAACCAACTACGCTATTAAATAATTTATAATATATAAACAAATAAAAAGATAAAAACTTGGAGTACATTCCACAAAATAAACAATCCAACATGTAGGTTTTTAATATTTTATTATTATATTTATATATAATAATATTACTTTTTTTATAAAACTATAATTATAGTTAAAAGACAATAAAAAAAAAAGAATCATTTATTATTTAGCTAAATAACATTAAAACTAATACGGTTTTTTTTTTTTTTTTTAATAATATTTTTTTTTCTTTAGATTATGTTGTATGTGTGGTGTTTTAATTCCAGCAAATCCATCAAATATGTGTGTCGATTGTATTAAAAGTCAAGTTGATATTACAGATGGTATTCCAAAACAATTAACAATTCAATGGTGTAGAGGTTGTGATCGTTATCTTCAACCACCAAATCATTGGGCTATTGCAGATTTAGAATCAAGAGAATTACTTACTATTTGTATTAAAAGAATCAAAGGTTTAAATAAAGTTAAATTAGTTGATGCAGGTTGGGTATGGACAGAACCACATTCAAAGAGATTAAAAGTTAAATTAACCATTCAAAAAGAAGTTTTCACAAGTGCTATTTTACAACAAATTTTCATTGTTGAATTTGTAGTCCAAGGTCAACAATGTGATAAATGTCAAAAGTTTGAAGCTAAAGATACCTGGAATTCAGTTGTACAATTAAGACAAAAGGTATTTATAGTTCAAAATGAAAAAAAAAAAAAAAAAAAAAAAAACGAATATTAATAATTTTTTTTTTTTTTTATATTATAGGTTGATCATAAAAGAACTTTCTTATTTATTGAACAATTAATTTTAAAACATAATGCACATTCACAAACTTTAAATATTAAAGAAAAACCAGATGGTTTAGACTTCTTCTTTTCAAATAGAAACCATGCTATGAAATTTGTAGATTTTATTTCATGTATTACACCAGTTAAAACAAAGAAATCAGAACAATTAATTTCATCTGATGAACAAAATAATGCAGCCAATTATAAATTTACATTCTCTGTTGAAATCGTACCATTATCAAAGGATGATATTGTTTGTCTCCCACCAAAGATTGCTCACCAATTGGGTAACATGGGTCCATTAGTAGTTGTCACTAAAGTCTCAAATTTAATTCATTTCATCGATCCAAATACATTACAAACTGGTGAAATTTCAGCCTTAACTTTCTGGAACAGTCCATTTAGAGCCCTTTCATCATATAAACAATTGGTCGAATTTACCATTCTCGATGTTAATTTAACTGGAGAAACCAGAGGTCGTTTCGCTCTTGCCGATATTCAATTGATGAGATCCGTCGATTTTGGTGCCAATGATAATATGCATGATATCAGATCACATTTAGGTAATATTTTAAATCCAGGTGATTTAGCATTAGGTTACGATGTTTCAACTTCAATCTATAACGATTCCGATTTAATAGGTTTAAAGAAAAATAAATACCTTCCAGATTTTGTTCTTGTCAAGAAAACTTATCCAGGTAAAAACGATTTCAGATTCAAGAGACATTATTACTATAAACAAATTGAAAAAGAAGGTATTGAAAATCCAAAGAAATTCGATATTGAAAGAATGGAAAGAGATAAAGAAGATTTCCTTAACGAAATTGAAGAAGATCCAGAAATGCGTAGCAAGATTAATATTTATAAAGCTCCAGATGCTGCTCAAATCTTAAAAGAAAGAATTAAGAAAATGGAAGAATTGGGTATGGATGAAGATGCAATTAAAGCTCAACTTTCAATGGACGAACTTTTAGATGAATTTGATAATATAACTATGAATGACGAAGTATTTGAAGAAGATGACGAAGAATATGATGATGATGAAGAATATGAAGAAGAAGATGATGAAGACATGATGGAATAAAAAAAAAAAATTAAATAAAATAAAAAAAAAAAAAAAAACAATAAAATCAAATTAAAAATATTATATATATAAAACAAACTTTATACTTTTATTTCTATTTTTTTTATTTTTTTATTAAATTTTTTTTTTTATTTAATTTTTTTTTTATTTAATTTTTTAATTTTCTTTTTTTTTTTTCATTTTTTATAAAACCATATCAATGAATAACAACAATTGTAATAATAATAATAATAATAATAATAATAATAATAATAATAATAATAATAATAATAAAATATTGTCAGATTATATTCAAAACATAATTATAAGATTTTGTTGGTTTCATTATCATTATAATAAAGAAAGAAGTTATAATGGCTTATTAATAAAGTGGAAAAGATCTCTATATTTGGTTTCAAAAAGATGGTTTGAATATATTTCAAAAAATTTAAATACTAGATATTTTATGCAAAAACCTTACGAGTTTATATCAAATTTTCAACTATCCAAATACTCTATTTTTCAAGCACCCCCAATTTCACTAGAAATATCATCCAATATCTATAAAAAACTTTTAAATCATTTAAGCGATAATGGGTCCAAATTTTTATTTTTTTCAAATTTACAAAATTTAACTTTTTACTTTGATTCAGGAACTAGTTTAAAAAATGGTAAATTAAACGTTACTTTATTTTAATTATGGTCAAAACTAATCAAAGTTTTTATTATATTTTAGAACCAATTGAAATTAAAGATTATGCATTTTTATTTAAAAATTTCATAAATATAAAATCATTGGATATTCATTTTCCAAACTCTGACTATTCAATACAGTCTAGCAACACTTCAAATATACTCAAATGCTATGTAGATTTAATGAATCAAAACTATTTAGATTTTAAAAAAGAGAAAGAAAGTCAAAATAAAACAATAACAGAGGAGGAAATAAACGATCAATATAATATTAGCCTATCATTAAAAACATTGGGTTTAACAGTACTCATCTTTGGTGACGAACTATTCAATCTTTTTAAACAGTTAAGGTTATACAACCTTGAAAAATTAACAATCAAATACTATTCTTGTGAATTCATAAAAGAAGTATATGAATGCTTTCATAAAATCAAAAATCTCAAAAGTTTTAGTTCAAGTCTTTATAGCTCATATAATGAAATGGAGGAAACACTGTTAAATCTTTTCAATAGTGATACAAACAATAGGTTATTGGGCTCGTTGGAAGAGTTTCAAATTTCCATATACCCTGTATCAGAAATCAATGTAAATAACCATAGTATCTACACGACCATAATCAAGCTATTGAGAGAAATGAAGAACTTAAAGAGTCTAACGATACTATTCAGTAAAAATGATTATGATCGCGATCTATCAAATTTAACACATACAGAATTCATGTCATTACCAAGGATACAACTAATGAAATACTTTTTACAAGAGAATACAAATATCAAAAAACTGGATACAAATTTATTTAATGTACCCGAGCTAGCAAACATCAAAGAATTGTTTTCAAATATTAATAGCAATTTCAAACTTGTCTCAAAAGATAGTAATGAAAAGCTAGAGTTTTTAATCGACCTATTTTCAAACAATACCCTCAATATCCACACTTATATGATCCAATCATCTCCCTACATATGGTTGGGATTTTTGAAATCGTTCAAAGTCAAATCATTAGAAATGGAAATATACTGCGATATCAATTTTAATAAAAATAATAGATTCGTTAACGAGATTTTTGAAATCATAGTTAAAAACAACAATTTGGAATCTGTAGAAATTAATTTATTAAGCTATTCGAATTCAAAATGCTTCATCGATGAAAGGGTAATCAAGCAGTGCATGGAATCTGTCGACGTTAATCCCTCACTTAGGTATATGGTGTTTTCAATTAATTGTTTGGGAAATTCGGAACAAATTCTAAATAAAATAAATTCTGAAATCCAATTAATTAGCTCCGATTCAAATAAAATAGTTTGGTTAGAGTCTGCCATAATAACATATCCAGGTAAAACTACTGTACACCGAAATCTAAAAATATTTATTTATAAAAGTTAAAACAATAAAATCCTACATTTTTTTTTTTATTTAAAAAACAAAAAAAAAAAAACTTTATTTATATTATATAACTAAATTGTTTATTTTCTAAAGAAATACCATAAAATAAAAACTATAAATAAAACAATTGCCATTCCTGAATAAACGATAACCTTGTCTTGGTACTGTCTTCTTTTAATTTTTTGCATAATAGTACGAGATAAACCTAGGGTATTTGCAATATCATATATTTTTTTATGTACATTCTATTAAATAAAAATCATATTAGTATTTGGTTATTATCTTTATTTCATGTATATAAATACAATGATTTACCTTTATCTTTGAATTTTGACCAACTAAATTATATATAATACTGTTACCCATTTCTGTAAGAGTATCTATTGTTGAATTGCTATCATTTAAATGTTGATGTTCTTTCATAAGATTACCTAAGGCTGTAGTTTCACCTGCTTTTCTTCTACCTAATAGTTTAGTTTTTTCCTCCTCTTCCATTTGCTTTTTATATTTTGTATGTAAATATGTATCTAAAGATTTTCTTAATGATTTACTTTCGTCAATTAATTGCTTAATTTTACTAAATGTATTTAAAATAAAAATTACATTAATATATTAATTTATTATTATTATTGCTATTTGTTTTAATATTCCATACATTCTCCAAATTTCTCTTTTTGCTACAGGTTCATTTGAAACCATACCATCTATTTGATCAGTTAACCTTGAGAGTTGATTAATGTTTGTTGATAGTTTACTTTGAATAATTACAGACGTATCTTGACCAGTTTCTAATGTTTCTAAATCATTTCTAATTGAAAATAATAATTTATTGGACTGCTTGTACAAATCCTCTAAAGTATTACCGCCACTAGTTCCTGAACTACCAGGACCACCATATCCTGGTTGTATATCATTTGTTCCGTTATATGGTGTATTATTATTTATTGAGTTACTATAATACATTATTTATTTATTTATAAATAAAACTACAATTTTTAAAAAAATAAAAATAAAAAAAATAAAAAAAATTTAAAAAAATTATTAAAAAATATTTTTTAAATATTTTTTTTTTTTTAATTAAAATAATATTTTTTTATTTTTTTAATAATTAAAATTTAAATTTAAATTAAATTAAATTAAAATTGAAAAAGAATTTTATAAATTATAAATTACAAATTACAAATAAACTATAAAATATGTAAAATTAAACATGATTTTTTTGTTATATTTTTAATTTTTTTTTAATATATTTTTATTTTATTATTTTATAATTTAATTAAATCTTGATTTTGATTGATCAAAAAGTTGTTCAGCATCATTTACTGCAACAGTCCAAACATGATTTGGTTGTAAACTTTTAAGTTGACTATTTTAGGAAAAAAAAAAATTATTAATAAATGGGGTGTGGGTTATAAAATTAAATATTTTTATAAAAAATTATTACTTACTTTAAATATCTTTGAATAATTTCGTTTGGTTTTTTCATATTAATATAACAAGTGATGATATTTGAAATTGTATCAGCATTTTTTTGGTTTTTATCGATTGATTCTAATAATAATGATTCGGCTTTTTCAAATCTTCTCATTGAAAGTGCGCAAACTGCTTGACCATTTAATAATAATGGAGTAGCTCCATATCTTTCTGACATTTCTTCAAAAATTGAAAGTGCTGATTTTAATTTTTCTTCGCCCTATAATAATTTTTTTTTTAAACAATTAGTAATGATGGTTATCTTGGTTGTTTAATATTGAATATAATTAAAAAAAAAATAGTACATTAAAAATATTAATCCAAGATAATGCTAATAAAGCTGGAGTTGCATCTGGGTCAACAATTTTTTTCATATTTTCATAAGCTTTTTGAGCTAAATCTAAACGATCGATCTTTAAATAAAGTTGAATTAACATTGCGTAACCTTCAACAGAGTCACATTCATTTAAAATACGAAGAGCATCTTCAAACAATTGTTCATTGAAAAAAACAGTTGCAATAATGACTTGAAGATGATAATTATTTCTAACAATACCATCGGCTATCCATTGAGTGACAGTGACCATGGCGTTTTCACGATTATCTTGTGGGTTTAAAAGATAGGTGGCTAATAATTGTAAACCACAAACGGTTGGATGATCGTTACCTCTTGTTTCTGTGAGTACCAATTCATAGTTTCCTTGTGCTATATAACTTCTATATAAATAATAATCTGCTTCTGATTTTAATGATTTATCTTGAATTTGTCTTGATTTCTTATTAATTTCATTAATAGTTGATTGGTAATTTCCTAAATAAAAATAGTTTTTAGAATCGAATAAGATATCATCTGACATTTTTTAGTTTATTTATTGATAATGATTATAAAAAAAAATATAAATATAAAAAAATTAAAAAAATAAAAAAAAAAATAAATTAATTTTTTTTTAAATTCAAAAAAATAAAAAAATTTAAAAAAAATTAAAAAAATTCTATTTATAGATAGTGTTTTCTTACCACATGACTTCTCATCCATCTCGAGATAAATATATTTAGATACTTAATGTTTTAGATAATTCTCTATGAATAAGAGTTTCACTAAGGTCAATCTTTTTAAGAAATCAGCAATACCACAACTTGAGCAACACATGCATCCAATGTGGCAATAGATATTATCAATAGCTGCTCTAGTCAATTCACCCGGGACAGTTAGGTTTTGAATTTTAACTCTTATATCATTAAGTTTATCAATGGATAAAGAAGAGATTTTGCTCCTAAATTATATAATAAAATTTTTTTTTAATATAGAAATTAAAACAAAAGGTTGCTTTTTAATAATTCCTTACCAGCCCCAGTAACTGTTTTATATGAATTTGATATCACCTCCACCACCACCACCACCAATGAACGGAGTTCCACCACCTCCACCACCTCCACCACCACCAATGGGTAAATCAGCTGCCCCTCCACCACCACCATCAGCCGACGACGACGATGATAATGAAGAATCAAGCGAAGGAGGTGTTTGTTATAAAGATGACCCAAGATATAAACCATTTTTCGATTTACACAGAAAACAAGTTCCAATTATGGCCTTTCAAGGTAAAATGTTGGCACAAGGTTTAGATCCAAATGCAATAAAGTATGTATCTTTATATAGTTATGATTTATACATTTTATCATAAATACTAATTTTTTATTATCCTTTTATAGTACACCAGATGCAATTGTTAAAGACGGTGTCAAACCAAAACCAATAGAAATTTCACAATCTACAGATAATTTAGCTGCAATTGCATCATCTGCCCCACCACCACCACCACCACCATCAGATTTATCATTATCATCATCATCATCAATTCCACCACCACCAGCAATATTCGAAGAATCACCAAAATTAATCATTCCACCACCACCAATGATGAATAAAAATAATAACAGTGATGATGATGACGACGACGATGATGATGACGAAGAAGTAAACAATGCACCAAAATTAATCATTCCACCAGTTATGAATAACAATAGTGATGATGACGATGACGATGATGACGAAGATAATATAGGAAATAATAATAATAACAATAATAATAATATACTTTCAGGATCTTTAGATATTCCCGCACCACCAGAAGATTTATTTATACCAGCACCACCAACCATTTCTATTCCATTACCACCATCTACTAGAAATTACGACGACGATGACGACGACGATGATGACGATGATGAATCATGGAATTAAATAATAATAATAATAATAATAAAACTATAATAAAACTATAACATTAATAAAAAATAAAGTTTTTTTTTTAAATTAATTTGTAAATATTTGGTAAAAAAAAACAAAAAGCAAAAATGATATTCTATTTTCTATTATTTAAACATTGTATTTGTATATCTTTATTTTAGATTTTGATTTATACAAAATCTAGTTAATGGATAAAATGTTACAAAATCCGTCATAATAATATTTGTTTTTATATTTAATTTTTCTATTTTTTCAAATAATTTTAAGAATGAATCCATTTCCATCATAGTCCAATCAAATACCGAGTCTACAGCTAATTGATAAAAATTGGATAGTCTATTGTCTGCAGTTAAAACACATTGTAGTACCCAAAAAGTTGAATGTTCTTCTTTTAATTCTTTTTCTAAAAAGTTTATTACCGATTTGCAAGAGTGATATTGATCAAAGTCATAGGCGGAACGTAAGGAGTGATGATACCAAAAACAACTCTCCTCGGCGATTTGGTCTGGAATTGTGTTTTCTTTTACTACGCTGAATCTATCGTCATATATATTTATAATTGGAGTTTGTTCTAATTGCTCGACTGTAACATCAACACCCAGTTCTCTTGGGGCCATTTTACCATCTAATTTAGTTTTGATGAGTGATTGTAGTTGTTTATGTTGTTGATCGGTTAAAAAATTAAAGTGATTCCAATGGAGGATGATAATTTCTCTTTTATCTTTAATGAATGCAGCAATGTCATCTAAAACCTCTGTAATGGGGACTGAGAACATGTTGTGTTGAACTTTTAACTCGCCAGATGAGGTTGGTGCGACCCTTAAATCAAAGTATCGTACTCCAAATACCAATTGTTTGTAAATAGTTGCACTCTGAGTTTTCGACCATTTGCTGATAACTGCATTTGGAGCAAACCAAGGCGATCTATAGTCTGGTGATCGTTCTGAGGATGAATGAATGCCATAGGTTGCAGCGTCATGAGAGCCTGGTAAAACCAAATCTCTAACTTTTTTATGTTTGATTTGCTCCCAATAAATCGACATCCATTGTGAATACTCTTTGAATGAAAAACTCTCTTCCAAATGGTAAGATTTTGTTTCTTTATTTTTTGAACAATAACCAGCATGATAGTCTTGATTTTCGTCAAACTGGTGATCTGTCACAGCATATCCATGCTTCTCTTCGTAATGTTTTGTAAAAAATGATTGATTTCTTAAAAAGCTTGAATGACTATTTGGTTTTCCCTTACTTAATATTAAAAAATCATCATTATTGTGGTGACCATCTTGATTATCCCAATGGATTGTTAAAAATGTTGTACTTGGTGCACATCCTAATTTATCTGGATGAATTTTTTCGATAATTGATAATTTTCTTTTGCTATTATTTTCAAGAATTTCTAATCTTGTCATTTTTTAAATATAAATAAAAAAATTTTTTATTATTATTATTATTATTATATTATTATTATTATATTATTATTATTATAATAATTTACTATTATTTATTATTATTTATACTAAAGGTAGTTTAGAATTAAAAAAAAATTTAAAAAAAAAAACAAAAATAATAAAAAAAAATAAAAAAAATAAAAAAAAATAAAAAATTAAAAAATTAACTCCTTTATAAATTCCTCTAAATTTATTCAATGTTAAGATATTTATTTTATTAGCTTTAATAAAATAAATATCTAAACACTAAACGATCAAAGGAATGAATAAAACGGGAATATTATTTTTCATTTTAAAAAATTTAAATTTCCGCATACTAACAACCACACACAAAACACCACACTTTAAAAATCTTTGTTTAAATTTTTTTTTTTTTCATTTAAAAAATTGTATTTTGATATAGTAATTAAAAGTATAATTTATATCGAATGGACTCTATGCTTCCATAGATTAGGATTTTAAAGATTGTGACTTAATGTTTATTTAAACGAAAAAATATTTTTTTGAATAAAAAAGTTTTTTTTTTATTTTTTTTTTTTTTAAATAATTTTATTTTTTTTATTTTTTTTTTTTTTATTTTTTTTATAATTTTTCATTTTGTTTTCTTTTGACCAAATTTACTATTTTCTTTTTTTAAAATTCATATGTTTTAATTAATTAATTAATTAATAATAAATAATTAATAAAAAAAAAAAAAAAAAGATATTTATCATTTTAAAAACCAAGAAGAAAAAATAAAGATGAATCAAATTTATAAAGTTTTATCAACTTCAAAAAGATTCCAAAATGTATATAGATTAAATATTAATAATAACCATAGTAGTATTAATAAAATAAATAACCATAGTAATATATATAATATAAACAGATTTTTTACCTCAACTAATAAAAGTAAAGAGGATTTGTATGTTTTTTTTTTTATTCGGAACCGATAATCGAAACGATAATTTATGACTAACCAATAATTAATATTTTCATTTTTATAAATACAGGGTTACATTCACATTTATAAATAAAGATGGTTCAAAAACAGTAGTTTCAGAACCAGTCGGTACAAATGTTTTAGAAGCAGCTCATGACAATGATGTTGATTTAGAAGGTGCTTGTGAATGTTCATGTGCATGTTCAACATGTCATGTTCATGTTCAACAAAAATACTTTGATATGTTACCAGAACCAACTGATGAAGAAAATGATATGTTGGATTTAGCATTCGATTTAAAAGAAAAGTAAATAATCATTTTATATACATATATTAGAAAAAAAACACATATATATTAATTAATTAATTTTTATATTTATAGTTCTAGATTAGGTTGTCAAATTAAATTATCAAAAGAATTAGAAGGAATGGAAGTTTCAATACCATCAGCTTCAAGAAACATGAGTGTAGATGGTTATAAACCACCAAGACATTAAGAAAAAAAAGAAAATGAAAAAAAAAAAAAAAATGAAAAAACAGGGGAACAGTATACCTATATAATATAAAAAAAAAAAAAAAACGATATTAATAAACGATCAAATTCAAAAAAAGTGGTTTTTTTTGATCAATGTTTTATTTTTTTACAACATAAAACTTTTTTTAAAACATAAAAAAAAAATAGATTTATTTATTTATTTATTAATTTATTTATTTATTTATTTGTTTCTTTTTGGTCAATGTCTTTTAAGAAATTTGTTAAACAATCATGGATATGATTATAGCAAATATGGAAATCTTTAAGGGTGCCATAGTATGGATCTTCAACCTATTATTAAAAAAATAAAAAAATTAATAAAAGGAAATTATATATAATTGGTGTTTTATTATTATTTGAATTATAACCTACATTTAATTTTTTATGGGTATGATAGGTACCTAATCTTGTAATAACAGCATTACTTGAACGATGACCTTTTAAACTCTTGATATTATTTAAATTTGAATCGTCCATTGCAAAAATATAGTCATATTTTGAAAAATCTTCAATGCAAAGTTGTCTTGCTTTATGTAAAGGAATAGATTTGAAATGTTGATAGGCTTCTTCTGAAATTGATTTTGAAATATTTAAATGTGAAACTTCGACACTTCTATGATCAGGTGTTTCACCAATGTGGTATGCTGATGTACCACAGCTATCGATTTCAAATAAATCTAATTGCTTTCTATCAAAGGCCATAGCCCTTAATATAATTTCACCAAGTGGGCTTCTGCAAATCTAAAAATAAATATTACATGTCATGTTAATATTGAAGATTGTATTTCCTTTATTTTTTAACCAAACTTAATTACATTTCCTAAACAAACAAATAAAACCTTGGTCTTTTTTGGAGGTGATGATGCTGACATGTTTTAATATAATAATAAAAATTAAAGTTGAAATGAAAAATAAAATAAAATTAAAAAAAATAAAAAAAAAAAAATAAAAATTAAAAAAAAAATAAAAAAAAATAAAAAAAATAAAATAAAATAAGATTAAAATGAAATAATGATTTTTAAATTTTTATAAATTTAAAAATAGATATTTATTTAGATTGATTAGCTTTTAAATATAAAAAAAATTAAGTTTTTATATACCAATGATGAACCTGTTTAAACCTAAAGATATTGGTGAAAATAAAACTCAGTTCCAAATAGATTGGCTAAATATAAAAAAATAATAATAAAATAAACAAATATGTAATAAATATTTAATCTTTATTTAATTTATATTTTATTTATAAATGAATAATTAATAATCTATAACTTTGAAAACCTATTCTTTGATATAAATAATCTGGTTAGTAATTCTGTTTTTATCTTCATTCTTTTTTATAAGTTGATTATTGTTTATAATTATATACTTGCTTTTGATTATTATTGACGGTTTATGCATGATTATATATTGTTTATGTATGTTTTTAGTGTGTTGTGAATTAGTGTGGCAATTTTGCTTGATTATGATTTTGAGTACGATTGTTGATGTGATGGTGATAAATGGTGTTTATACTGCTTGTTTTCGGATTTGGAGTGCGATTGTTGATGTGGTGGTTGTTAAAGGTGTATATACTGCTGGATTATGAGTTTGAGTGGGCTATAATTATGAAGCATTCTTAACTGTTTTGAAATGGTGATTTAATTAAAGGAATGTGGCTGCAGTGAAATAAAATGTTTTGAACTTTAAAAGAAAAGCGGGGCTCTGATTTTTGGCTATGGTTACCTTGAAGATTTTCGTGCACTTTGTTTTTGAATATTGGATCGAAAAAACCTTAATGTTAGATTAGAAACTTTAAACTGAAAACTTATTGATATCGAAAAATATAGAATTTGAATTAAACTAAAAAAGTATTAAAGTTAAATATTAGTTTCTTTTATATTCAAATATTATAATGATCATGTAAATATTTTAATTATAGTTACCTTATTGAATTATTAGCTGCTATGTTGAACTGGAACGTTTAGTATTATCTTGAACTTTTTTTTGCATTTTTCTGTAGAACCGAACTGTATGATGAGATATTATTAAAATTATGATGCAGATGTGGCTAATTTTAGAAGCTTTGGATGATTCGGGAAGACTGTAATATATATAATTCCTTGAAACTTTGAATTTAGCAATGTAACTAATATTAAGTTCTTCATCTATTTCATAAATGAAACATCGAATAAAGTACTTTAACTATTAATTTAAATGCTATCGATTTCAAAAGGTACTATAATTATTACGTCTGTTATAATATAGGTGACCCGAAAGAAAGGAGTCATCATTGTATCTATCATCGGATTCATAGCGTGGATAATCAATATTAAATTCTAAGCATCTAACCTACAATTAAATAAAGAAATAAATTAATATATATTTTTTATTTATTAAGTATAAATATGAATGTATGAATTACTTACTTTAATAGAACGGATTGGTTGTCTGCACAATGGGCATTCTTTTTTAATTTTAGAAGATTTAATAATGCATTTATAGCAAAATTTGTGGCCACAGTTTATTGTTGCCATTTTAGAGTCTTCTATTTCATCATAACATATAGAGCATACATTATTTTCTTGTTCTTGTTCTTGTTCTTGTTCTTGCTCTTCTTCTTCTTGTAATTGTTTTAGTTCTAGTTCTATTTCTAAAAGTTCCTTTCTTGCTCTTTCTTTTCCTTGTCTTATTTCTTCTAAACGTTCCTCTTCTAATCTTTCTTCTTCTAATTTTTCTAATCTTTCTTTTTCTAATCTCTCTCTTTCTGCACGTTCTCTTTCAATACGCTCTCTTTCCATTCTCTCCATTTCTTTCTTTTCCATTTCTACACGTGCTTTTTCTGTTTCGACCCTTTTTTGTTCTTCCTCGTCTTCAAATCTATGTTTTTTGAGGGGGCGCATGTTGTGACCAATATAAGTTTGATCATCAGACTCCAATGGTCTCTTCTTCATTGGAGTACTACGAGTTGATTTTTGAGCACCTCTATTATTGAAAACTGGTGGAGCATTTGATGATTGTGGGTGTTGTTGATGTGGACCGGTTGTCATAATTAAATCAGCAGAATAGTGTGGGTAGATTTGGTTGTTTGATGGGACATGGTAATATTGAGCCCTTGAGAATGGATTTTGTTGTTGGTGTTGAGAGCCTTGTTGGTGTTGGGAGCCTTGTTGTTGTTGTTGTTGTTGTTGTTGGTGGTGGTGGTGTTGTTGAATTTGTTGTGGTTGTGTTCTATTTACTGGAGCAGTATAAAAAATTGGTGTAGTTTGTTGTGGGTAGACGAAGGTGTTGTGTCTGTATAAATAATCGATCCCGGTGTTATTTCTATTGTTATTATTGGTTGAAAATAAATATGAAATATAACCTGGTAAAAAACCGGATAAAAAACCGAGGACTATACAAAGAAGGAAAAATAATACGATAAAACCAATCATTATATATTAAATTATTATTATTAAATAATGGTGATGTGGAAGGTGATTTGCAAATTATTATTTGAATATTGCTAAAAATTATTTAATTAATATAAAAAGCTATTGATATTATAAATTATTATTATTGTGTTGATTGTTATAATAAATAAATAAATGTAAATTATTATTTGTATACAGATAAATTTATAAAGAAAAAAAAATAAAAAAAATTTCTTTAAGGAATGAAATTTAAAAATTGAAAAAAAAAATAAAATTGAAATAAAAAGTTTTTATTAAAAATTTTAAATTAAAAATTTTTTTTTTTTAAATGATTATAAAAAATTAATGGGGTGTGGCACCCAATTCATAGTGGTTGTTAAAATTTTTTTAAAAAAAATTAAACAGATGATTTCTTCAAAAGGAAAAAGTAAATCCAATTAGGGAACTTCACTATTATCAAAAAAAAACTTTATTATTTACAAAGATGAACTAAAGATTATAATTTATATTGGAGAAAACTTCAATTAAAGTTATTATAATATACATTATCATTATAATTTTTAATAAATTTATTTATAAAAAAAAAAAAAAAAAAAAAAAAAAAAAAATTTAATAAATGACTTAAAATCCAATAGTTTATATATTTACAAAAATGAAATGAGAAAAAATGAAATTTTGAATTTTTGTAAATATATTCTTTAAATTATATAAAAATAAAATATAATTTCTAGATTATATAAAAAAAATTATTCTCTAAATTATATAAAAATAAAATATATTTTTTATTATTTTTTTATTTTGGTTTTTTTTTTTAAATTTATTATCATTATAATTATCAACAACTTTATAAAAAGAATACTATCAATAAAGAAAAGTAATCAATGAATTAAATCAAAGTCGAGGAAAAAAAATGTAACTGAAGAAGATTAGATCCAAACTCGGTATTCCCATTTTTGTACATTCTATTAAATTTTTAATCTGTAGCTATCATAAAAGTAGTGATCATCCGTTTATTTTTTAAACACATTTACCAAATAAAAAAATAATTCAATTAAAAAAATTTAAAAAAAATTAAATTTATCTTTAGTGGTCAATAGTATAAATATGGAAAAAAAAAAAAAATTGTTAAAAAAAATAAAATAAAGTATATAAAATAAATAAATAAATAAATTTAAAGTCATGTTGAGAAATTTCTTTTTATTTTTTTTTTTTAATTTAATTTTTATTTATTTTAATTTTAATTATTTTTATCTTTTGGGCTTCTCTCTTAAACTTCATCAAATTCTCTGTTAAACCTTGATCTTGATCATAAGTTATTTAATTTGGATCATAGAAATAATCTTCATCTGTATCATAATTGATATTTTTACTATTATTATTTTTATTGTTATTTTTTCTAATATTACGGATTTGTGTGTGATTGTTGATGTGATGATTGTAAATGGTGTTTATACTGCTAGGTTATGAGTTTGAGTGTGTTTATATTGCTCGATTACTGATTTTGTTCGATTGTTGATGAAATGGTTGTAAAGGTGTTTATACTGCTGGGATAAGACTTTAACTATTTTGAAATGGTGATTTAGTTGAAGGAATGAGGCGGTGGTAGTGAAATAAAATGTTGCGAGCTTGAAAAGAAAAATGTGGCCCTGATTTTGGGCTATGGTCACCCTGAAGATTTTCGTGCACTTTGTTGTTGAATATTAGATCGAAAAAACCCTATTGTTAGATTAGAAACTTTAAACTGAAAACTTATTGGTATTGAAAAATATAGAATTAGTATCAAACTAAAAAAGTATTAAAGTTAAATGTTAGTTTTATATTCAAATATTATAATCATTATGTAAATATTTTTAATATAGTTACCTTATTGAATTATTAGCTGTTATGTTCAACTGGAACATTTGGTATTTTCTTGAATTTTTTCTTGCTTTTATTATAATTTCAATGATTAATTTACATTAATACAGTTATTTATTTTTGTGATTACCTTTTTAATCAATAAATAGAAAGAAATTAATTTTTATATTTTATCTTTTTTTCCTAAAATGTAAACAATTTACTATTTGTTAATTTATTATTATTTTTTACATAATGATTATTAAATATTGATTTTTGGTGATTTATTAAATTATTTTTTTATTTTTTTTTTATTTTTTTTTTATTTTTTTTTTTTAAATTTATTAAAAATTATAATCCATAAATTTTTTAATTTAAATTTTTTTCATTAAACTTTTTATTTCAATTTTATTTTTTTTTAATTTTTAAATTTCATTCCAAAAAGAAATTTTTTTTATTTTTTTTTCTTTATTAATTTATCTTCATACAAATAATAATTTATATTTATTTATTTATTATAACAATCAACACAATAATAATAATTTAAAATAAAATGATTGGTTATATAGTTTTATTTATCCTTCTTAGTTTAGTCCTCGGTTTTTTATCTGGTTTTTTATCCGGTTATGTCCCATTTATATTTTCAACCAATAAAAACAATAATAACAACAACAATAACAATAGAAATAACATTGGCAAAGATTATTTACACAGATACAACACCTACATCTACCCACAACAAACTACACCAATCTTTTATACTGCTCCATCAAATAGACCACAACCATCACAAAATCAAATCTCACAACCACAACAACAACAACAACAAAGCTCTCAACACAATCCATTTTCAAGGGCTAAATATTACCATAACCCATCCAATAACCAAAGTTATGGTTCTGATATTATTTTAACAACCGGTGCACATCAACAACACCCACAATCATCAGAAAAAATTAGTATAGAAATGGAGAAAATTGTAAGAGAGCGTGCAGAAAAAGAGAGATTAGAAAAAGAAAGATTAGAAAAGGAACTTTTAGAACAAAAACAAAAAGATAACGTATGTAATATATGTTATGATGAAGTAGGGGCCATTTATATGGTAACATTAGGTTGTAACCATAAACTTTGCTTAGATTGCATTTATAAATGGTCTAAAAATTGCCCATTTTGTAGAAAAAAAATCACTTCCTTTAAAGTAAGTAATTCACACATTCATATTTATACTTCATAAATAAAAAATATATATTAATTTATTTCTTTATTTAATTTTAGACTGCAGGCGAAACAATTTATCTTGATGATTCCGACGATGATTAATCCAGTGGTGACTCCATTCATTCAGAAAGTCGCCTAGCTCCTGATTCTGTATTTTTTATAGACGTAATAATATCAGATACACTTGAAATCGATGGCAATTAAATTAATAGTTTAAATACTTCATTCATTGTTTCCTTTAATGAAATAGGTGAAGAACTAAATATTAGTTAAATTGTTTCATTCCCAGTAAGTTTCTAGATATTATATAAATTACAGTTTTCCAAATCATCCTAAACCTCCAAAGGAATTCTAAAATTAGTCACATATACATCAAGATTTAAATAATAAATATCGCATCATACAGTTTAGTTCTACAGAAAAAAGCAAGAAAATGTTCAAGAAAATGTTCCAGTTCAACATAGCAATATCAATAAGTTTTCAGTTTATAGTTTCTAATCTAACAATAGGGTTTTTTCGATCTAATATTCAACAACAAAGTGCACGAAATCTTCAGGGTAACCATAGCCCAAAATCAGAGCCACATTTTTAAAGCTTACAACATTTTATTTCACTGCCACTGCCTCATTCCTTCAACTAAATCACCATTTCAAAATAATTAAAGTCTTATCCCAGCAGTATAAACACCTTTACAACCATTTCATCAACAATCGAACAAAATCAGTAATCGAGCAATATAAACACACTCAAACTCATAACCTAGCAGTATAAACACCATTTACAATCATCACATCAACAATCACACACAAATCCGTAATCTAGCAGTATAAACACCATTTGCCACCATCACATCAAAAATCGTACTTAAAATAATAATCAATCAGAATTGCCGCACTAATTCACAATACACTAAACTATATATAATCATGCATAAACCTTCAATAATAATCAAAAGTATGTATATATTTTTAAACAATAATCAACTTATAAAAAAGAATGAAGATACAAACAGAATTATTAACCAGATTATTAATATCAAAGAATAGGTTGGAAAACAATTATAATAATTAACATATAACAATCAAAAAAAAAGTAAATTTAATTCAATTTAATGATTATCAATCCAGAGTTCATTTTTTTATTTTATACAGAGTTAACTAAAGATTATATTAATTATCCATTTATAAATAAAATATATTTATTAAATAAAGATTAAATATTTATTACATCAATTTTTTAAAATAAAAAAAAAAAAAAAATATAAATCATTACTAAAGCAGTGAATATGTATTTTTATAAAATTATTATGAGCAATAATGTTGGAAATAATATTTTTGATTTGATGACGAATTTAACTCTTGGTCAAGATTGTTTCCCTTTCCACTTGAGCTACCACCACCACTTGAAAAACCACTTGCACCACTAGAGCCACCTCCACTTGCATGATTGCCACTAAAACTACCGCTATTACTGCCGCTATAAATACCGGTACCACCAGAGCTCGATAAGATATTGGATGAAGAGGAGTTATAAAAAGGAACTGTTTGAACACAAATTTGTAACAATGGCACTGGATCGTGGCATTCATTTTTTAAACAGGTTACATAATATGGAGCTTGGTTGATACAGTAATAAAATAAAGTTAATCCGTTCAATGAATCGGTATTTGTACCGTTGATGACATATTCTGATAAAAGTATATTTTCGGGTTCACAGCTATCTCTCATAAATGAGATGGATGCTGAATTTGGTTGTACAACTGGAGATGATGATACGGTTACTTTAAAATAATAATCTTTATCATCTGCGGACATTGCTTGGTTTAATGTTATTTAATTTTGGGGAACACATGAATTGATTTTAAATGATTTTGGACTACCTACACTTGAATCACATTTTTCCATATCATAAAATAAGTACTTTTCCATACAACACTTTGCGATTCCTTATCGATTGTAAATATAAAGTTATTTTGATAATCCAATGTAGTGCATGTATCTATAACTGCCCCAATAACCTACACCGTATACACTTTTAAAAGACCTTTCCCAATCTCTTAGAATGTCTCCTCCATTAGTATCATATTTTATAAAAAAAATGGTGATAAAATATATTAAATAAAGATATTACAAACAAAACATAGCCTTTTCTTTTTTATTTATTTGTTTATTTATTTATTTTTTTTTTTAAAATTTTTAATAAACAGATATAAAAATTATAATTTTTTTTTTTATAATTTATATTTCGCTCAATTTTTTTTTTTTTATAATAATTGTTTAATTTTTTTAAATTAATTTTTTTCTTTATAAAAATTGGAGCTTTTTATATAATAAGTTAACAAATAACCCTGTATGTACTGGTCTTAATTTTATAAAAAGGTCTAAAGAACTTTTAAAAATCTTGTCAATAATACCTTGAAATTGCTTTATTTAGCTATTTTCTTGATTATCTTTAATTGCATTACCAAAATGGACAAAAATTGAGATGGCAACATCAGTTTGTTTAATAGTTGTTTGTTCTGGATTTGAAACGCAACTATACATAGTGGAGAGGATATTTTCAATTTCTTTGATTTATCTTCTTCCTCGTAAACAGCTGGGTCGAATCTTACTTTGATAATGATTTTTGAAACCAATAGGCTACTCTTGATTTTGACTTCATCAAAAACATATTTGCTCGATATTGAAAAAATCAAGACTTAAAATACTCTTAAAGATATTATCTAAAATCATTGCAATTATATTCAAAAAAGGATATATTTAAATTTTTATTTGAATATTTATAAATGATTTAATAAAAGTTGGAGGTGTTTACATATATAATCCTGGCACTGTATGATATACAACTATTAAAGTTTCAATGATTAAGTTACATTGTGTATACAGTAATTTATATATATTTGTTATTGCTTTTTTAATTAGTCAAAAAAAAAACAAAGAAAATAAATTTTTTTTTTTTTTTTTTTTTTTTTTTTAAAATATTTAAATACAATATTTTTTAAAAAATAAAAAGGTGATAATGTAAAAAAATAAATAAATATATATTAAAATATTATAAAGATAAAAGTGTTTAAATAAACATATATCAGAGAAGTGGCAGTTGATTTTTTTTTTTTTTTTTTTCAAAATAATTCATTTCTTTTTTTTTTAATTATGTAATACACCCAACAACTTTTTTAGAAATCAACTATAATGCAGTATATTATTTGAGTTGTAATATGTTAACTTTAATAATAGTTGTCCCCTATCAAATTAAAATCCATTTGTAAATAATAAATTTTTTTTTTTGATAATCATGATGTTCGTAAATTGTGCATTTACTTTTTCCTTTTGTGGACCCACTGTTTAATTCATACCACTAATAAAAAACCTTGTGTGGGAACTACATTTTTTTATAAAAATTTCAAAATTTTTTTTTTTTTTTTTTTGAAATTTAAAGTTTTAAATTTAATTTAATGTTTTTTTAAATTTTCATTCGAAAAAAATTTTTTATTTTTTTTCTTTATTATTTTATTTACATACAAATATTTTTTTACAATTAGCTGTTTATATAATAAAAAACACAATAATAAAATTTAATAACATCAATATCATTTTATATTAATTAAATAATTACAACTATCAATAAATAATAGTTCGCAAATCACCTTTCACATCACTATTATTTCATAAAAATAGTTTAATATAAAATGGATTATTTAACAATTTTATATTTTTTTATTGTTGCAATCATCGTTTTATTACTATGCTTTTATGTAAATAAATTTTTATTCATCGACAATAACAATAATAACAATAATAACAACAACAACGATGTTATCACAAGCAACAATAACAATAACAATAACAATAACAACAACTACCAACACCAAAATACACCAATCCACAATAGTGCCCCAGTAGAGCAACAACAACAACAACAACAACAACAACAACCACTATCACAATCAAAAAGCACTGCTTCAACCCCTGGTATTAGAAAACTATTTAAAGACCTTGATGAATACGAAAGACATCAACAAGAACAAGAAGAAGAGCCAGAACAAGAACAACAATCACAACAATCTCAACAAAGCTCTCAAAACCCACAACAATTTCCATACTCAAGGGGACATGCCAGCCATTACCCATCTTTTGATAGAAATCAATCACGTTATACTGCCAGTGCTTTTGTTCAACCAACCACTCAACCACAACAACGTCAACAACCATCACACTCATCTTCAAGTGCTCAGAACTACCCAACATTAAATAGAGCACATTCTCGTACCGCTGTTGATGCTCCACCAACCACTCAACCACAACAACACCCACAACCAACTCATTCATCCTCAAGTGCTCAGAGCTACCCAACATTAAATAGAGCACATTCTCGTTTTACTGCCGGTGCCAATGTTCCACCAACTGCTCAACCACAACATCCACAACCAACTCACCCATTCTCAAGTGCTCATAGCTACCCAACATTAAATAGAGCACATTCTCGTTATACTGCTGCTGCCAATGTTCCACCAACCACTCAACCACAACAACGTCCACAGTCAACCGATTCATCATCAAGTGCTCAGAACTACCCAACATTTAATAGAGCACATTCTCGTACCGACGTTGATGTTCCACCAACCACCCAGCCACAACAAAACCCACAACCAACTCACTCAAGTGCTCAGAGCTACCCAACATTCAATAGAGCACATTCTCGTACTGCTGCCAATTTTCCACCAACCACTGAACCACAACAACACCCACAACCAACCGATTCATCTTCCAGTGCTCAGAACTATCCATCATTTAATAGAGCACATTCTCGTAACGCTGTTGATCCAAATCCACCAAATCCATCACCAGCTTTCAATTCAACAGGTGTCCCAACATCATCTAGTAACGCTCCAATGAAGAAGAGATCATTAGAGTCTGATGATGAAGAGTATATAGGAATTAACATGGGAACCATTAAAAGACATAGATATGAAGATGAAGAAGAAGTAAAAAGGGTTCAAGAAGAAAAGGAACGTTTAGAGATGGAAAGATTGGAAAGGGAAAAGGAAGAAATGGAAAGATTAGAAAAAGAGCGTGAAGAAAAAGAAAGATTAGAAAAAATCGAAGAGGAAGGTATAAAAAATGAACAATTAGAAAAGGAAAGAATGGAAAAGGAACAAAAGGAACAGGAAGAACAACAACAAGAAGATAATAAATGTTACGTTTGCATGGAAGAAATGGAGACTGATAGCATCGCCACCATTGATTGCAATCACAAATTCTGTTTTGATTGCATGGATACATGGCATAAAATTAAAAATACTTGCCCATTATGTAGAGCAAGATTCTATACAATTAAAGTAAGTAAATTCATACATTTATATTTATACTTAATAAATAAAAAATATTTATTAATTTTTTTTCATTTTATAACTGTAGAGAGCCGGTCATGATCCAATAATAGTAGGCGATGTTGAAAATAGAGCCCATGAACAAGAATTAGATTACAATTTCCTTGATGACTCCGATAATTATGAAAATGAAAATGAAAATGATAATGATAATGATTCCGATGATGAATTCAGTGGTAACATGGAGCAAGTTTATCACCATTTATTGCGTCGTCGTTTTGTTCACAATATTTACGAACCAATATTTGATGATTATATAAATATGGATTAATAATGAAATTGAGGGCGATTAAATTAATAATTTACGTACTTTATTCAAAGTTTCTTTAAAACGAATATGATGAAGTCCTTATTATTAATTAACTCGTTTCATTCGTAGTTTCATTTATTGATTACATTTGTATACATCATCCCAAAATTTGTCGAAGTAGTTCTAAATAGTAAAATCATTATCAATATTTTAATAATAAATATATCATCATATTGTTCAGCTCTACAAAAAGAAGCAAAGTAAATTTATAATAATATTAAAGTTCCAGTTCCAAATACTTATATAGAAATTAAAAAGGTAACTATAATAATAACATTTAAATAATTCATTTATTAAAAAATAAAAGAAACTAATATTTAACTTTAATTCTTATTTAGCCTAATTCCAATTCTTTATTCCTCAATATCAATACGTTCAAAGTTTCCAATCTAACGTTAAGATCAAAATTCGAAAAAAAAAGTTCACGACAATCTCCAACTTAATCAGAACCAAAAACCAGATTCACTTTTCCCTTTAATGCTAATCACAATCCACTCAGAACCGTATTCCAGAAGTATAAACACCATCTACAATCATCAACAATCACATATTCCAGCAGTATAAACACCTTTTAAAACCATCACACAATCTCGTTCAAAGTAATAATATAGCAGTATAACCCAACTATTTTACAATACACACCAAAATACACATAAATAATATAAAACCGTAACTGATACCATCAATAATA